AGTATGTTTAAGGTAAGAATATATTTATTTTCAACAAACATTAATTAAGGTACTAAATAAAATAGAAATGTTACAGTTAATTTTAATTAACAACTTAGACAATCAAGGTAATTTCAATGAAAAATATATTCTAAAAAATATTTTATCTAATCATTTAATTATTAACATTTTAACCATATTCTTTTTACTTTTTATTATTTGAGCTTTTAACAAAAAAATATTAATACAAATTAACTTATGATTATAAAATTATACTTAGTATAAACTGTTTATAAAATCGTAAGAAAAAATTTAGAAATGAAGGAAAAATTAACTTATGATATTATACAATTTTATTATTACAAAAACTTTTTAAAAATTATGAAAATATTTAAAAAAAAATATTTTATATTTTATAATATACTGTAGAACTAACCTATATTTTGATAGTACGGTTCATCAGTGGACTGTGATTGAATGTGTTCAATACTTCTGTTCATATTTGTGTTGTTTTGAGTAACTGGTATTTGAGATGTCGGTGTGTATACTTGACGTTGATCGTTCATTATCTGGTCCATTTCTAGTTCTTGAACAATAGAAAAAATCCTTGTTTTTGCTATGTTAGCACGATATGGGTCCAACGTTTTCATTGTAGAAGTTATTCCTGTTAAAAATGTATCTACATGATGTTTTAGTGTTGTTTCATTTTCTTCTTTCGATTTTTTATCCAATAGATATTTCATCATCACCGCTGAAGCCGTTTCTTTGTCATTTTTTTCCCTCCTCCTTTAGAAAATTTAGATAAAGTTGGTTGTTGAGTTGGCATAGGTATAAAGGTACTAGAATTAATTGGATTTTCGATGCTAATATTCATATTCGTGGAGCATCCAGGATTGTCCATGTATGCAGTGTCGTCATATTCTTCAGAATCACTACAATCGATATTGGTAGTAGTTGATCTTTCTTGAAAGGTTATTTTTAAAAAAGAAAGTTGATCATCGTACTTATATTTGAGTTGTTTGGTTGCGGCTTGCCCACTCGTTGTTTTTTTTTATTCAAAACTTTCCTATATTGGTCCCTGATATTATACCACCTAGTCTTGCACACATTAGCTAGACAAAATATATAATAAAAATATATTATTATATATTGTATTACAATATCATAAACATATTTAGTTTTTTTATTATTATTATTTTATTTTTAATGCCATCTATAAGCATTTGAAAAATTTGACTTTTAAATTTTTTTTTTAAATATTGATAAAAATTTTTCGCTAAGACAAAATATTTGAAAATGTAATAAAATATTGCACACAAGTTGATCTTACAATATCATTCAAAAATATTAAATACATATGCACAATTTTTTTTATTAACCTTTGAAGTTCAAATATTGACAAAATTCGTCAAAATCGCGAATATTAAAATTATTTTATAATTAAAAATGTATTAACAATTTTAAAATAAAATTGTTAACTACGTAATGTAATTTTCAAAATATATTATTTATTATTTGTTTATTTAAATTTGAGTTTTTTAGGTTTGGTTATAATTTATTAATATTAAATAAAAATTATTTGATTTTTTAGATTTTTATCAACAGGTGATTCTATGAAAACAATATCATTCAGTTATCGACTAGGACATTCGACTGTTCACGAAATAGTGATAGATACATGTAAAATTATATTAGACAAACTGATGTCAGAAGTAATGCCAGTACCCACATCTGCCAAATGGAAGGAAATTTCCAACGAGTTTTGGAATTGTTGGAACTTTCCGAATTGTATAGGTTCATTAGATGGGAAGCATGTTGTGATTCAAGCGCCACCTAACAGTGGTTCGCAATATTTTAATTATAATAAAAACATTTTCCATAGTACTCATGGCCCTTGTCGATGCACATTATAACTTTATCGCTGTTGATGTTGGTGCATATGGAAGGAACAGCGATGGCGGGATTTTTATGCACTCTAAACTAGGCAATAGATTAGATCAGAAGAAATTGAACGTGCCACCAAGCACTGCTCTTCCTGGAACAACAAATGTTGTTCCCTACGTAATCTTGGGGGACGAGGCGTTCCCGCTGAAAGAGTATTTAATGAGACCTTATCCAGGCAAACAGCTACATGACAATTCTAGAAGAATATACAACTATAGACATTGTAGAGGACGAAGAGTCGTGGAAAATACATTTGGCATTCTAACGCAAAAGTTTCGATTATATAACAGACGAATTCAAGCCAAACCAGAGAACGCGGACAATATAATTTTGGCTACTTGTGTCTTACACAATTTTATAAAAACGCACGATGGTAAACAAGTATACAATCGAATAGATCAATCGAGAAGCGTAAATCATAATTCAGATGCGATTACATTACAAAATGTCCCTTTGCATGGAGGTAACGCAAGCCAACAAGCATTTCAGGTCAGAGAAACATTTAAAGATTTTTTTAATTCCGAAGCCTGATTAGTTTCGTGGCAAAATAATTTTATATAATCTGTAATATTATTATACATAATATATAATATAACTTAATATATAAGTTTTTATTACATATTAATATTTAATATACAACTAAGTATTTTTAGTTTACTTTTAATTTTTAAATTAACTTCAATTTAAGCTTAAATACTAAATGAAGCTAACTTAAGTTTTTTTATTACAAGTTTTTGACACATTGTATTTTCACTTTTTATGGGTCTTATTTTATTTAACTATAATAGCAAAACAATAATTATACTGCAATACACACATAATATTACACAAATATGCTATAGATTTGTCTATTTTAAAATGTATTCGTAAGTCTCGTAATTATAAATTGTATCTAAGTACGAGTTTTTAAGTAAACATACTAAATATACTAAAATATATGATATAATACAATAGATTTTATTATTTATACAATTGAATTTAAATAAAGTAAATAATTGCCTGGTTGATTCAATTCTTCATCAATTACTTTCCAAAGTTTTTCTTTGTGTGTCACATCACTATACTTGGGGTCGCTCAAGTCATAAAGACTTGAATGACTTCGAACAATTTCGATAAGTTTTTCGGAATCCGTTTTTAAAAATTTAAAATATATGAAAAGTAAAGACCGAAACAAAAGTTGAATGGCCAATAACTTTCAGATGGGCATAATTTTAAACTCGTCCATGTTCACAAGGCTCGTAACGTGTCGTTCACGCTCGTAACTCAAACTTGTAGGGACATGTACGCTCCTGTACACTCCTGATACAATCCTGTACACTTCTGATGTAATGTGTGTACAAAAGTATTTAAAATCAACATAGTTGCAACTAGGAGGGTTCTAAGAGCTATTTAGCACCCAAGTTTAAAAATTAAAAAAATTAAAATTAACACTCTCAAATACTCAATAAGCGTTTTCTTACCATGAGAAAAAGGTGCTGGGGAAATGTATGAATGTAAAAATCACAATTTTTTTGTTTTTTAATTGGAAGAAAGGTCGTACGAATTTCGTTAGTTGAAAACGAATTGATACGAATTCCATATCAAATTATTAGAAAATAATACCTTCAGATACTCAGATCTATTTGAGGGATGCTGGAGTAAACAACAACCCGGATACTATACGTACCCGGCACGGTACATCATTCACATTGGTCAGGACATGCCCGATCCGGGTCAAACCCGTCCGGGAACCCTGATAGAGAATTGTCGGGAACAATATTTTTTCGGCCCGGAGCCGACTCGGACGCCCGTTCAAGGCCCGGCCCGGATAAATGTGAATGTTCACATTTAAAATGCATTGGATAGAATTTTTTTCGTACCCGGACGGATTCCGGCCCGGACCCGTCCCGGAGCAGTGGGGATGGACCTTAAGAGCCTTCTTCCTTATTATTATTTACATCTATATTTGCTTATTATTTATACTTAACTATATAATATGTAACGGCCTCACGCAGATGTGATCCGCTACAAAAGTATTTCATATAATATGTTTTGAACCGATTTTAAATTATCAAATTGATTAAGAGGACGTCGTGTGATGTATCCGCCTTACAAATACACCATCATTTTCCTTCACCAGTTTCAATATTGCATTAGTATTTACTATTTAGTGTGCTGCTTGTTTTGATAGCAGAGTGAATTGACATATATTTTCAAACTTTCAGGTAACAACAGTATCTGCGATGTTCTCTCTATCGGAATTTACGATATTTTAATTTTAATGATAATTATGAGCATTTTCAAATATTAAAATTGTAATTACCTACTCATAAATCACTTGAAAATTTAAATATCATACAAAACGAAGAAAAGAACATAGATAATGTTCCATAATGTATAAGCATGTTACATATATAAGCCGTAATAGATTAAGTTAAGTGCAGAAAATTTGATATGTCGTCCGTGTGTAAGACGGAGAAACGATTCAACAAACTACATAAATCTAGGGTGGTAAACCAAACATATTCTATCATATAGGCTGAACTTAAGGGGACTCTCCGGCTTAGCCCCTAAAATATTCAAATAATCAACTTCTTAAATTTGTATGATTATTAAAATATTAAATCCTTCATAAGTTATCAAATCGACCTAATTCAGTAAACGTTGTTTGAAGAAATTATTTTCTCAAGTTTAAACAACGATTCATTATTCGAGGGTTTTCAGTAGTAGATATTGGATCCTAGAACATAGAATATAACAGTATTACAAATTATTACTAAATTATAACACTTATTACTGATAAGTGACAACGTTCCAATACATCACATGTTTAGAATAGTCAATACTCAATTGCTTAGGATTTTTTCTTTATAGATTTGTAATTTTGAATCGAAGGTACCAATTTATTATCACTTATAAAATATAAATAAGTACCTATTTTGTGTAAAATGTTTAAAAAAAAAAATGTTTTCCATTTTAGTAGCAGGTGGATGTATTATAATGTGTATATTAAATGTAGGAAATCGGGTGAGAAAAAATGATAAATATACTAGTTATATACTACATAAAGTAGTATATTTTTTAAGTAGTATATTATTCTTCTGCGACTCCTCCATGGTTTATTGATTTCAAACAAATAACATAACGGCCTTAGCCAAGAATAATGTATTATAACATAATAAAACATAAACTAAGACAATATAGACCTAATGATATATACAACAAACTCAGTAACTATATTTTTGATATAGAATTGATTGAAATGTGTTTAGGTGTGTGTATATCGTATGTGAATGCATATATGTATATGAATATATAAACCCATAGTAAAAATTTAAAAATCTTTTTTGAAATCAGTCAATGATTAATAAATAAGTCATAATATATTTATTGCTATTTGTATCTATTTTTTTTACATAAGCTGCATACTTACATTGAGGTATAGGTATTAGGTACTGATTGTACAGCTGTAGCCTGTAGCACAACCCGACGTTTAAAAAATTCTAAATTCGGTGTCTGTTAAAATAACACATACTTAACTATACTTATCAAATCAAATTGATAATTTACATTCAATCCCATATGTTTTCAGTTCCATTTAATGCGATACACTGACTTGGACTGAATTCACTCAAACACACTTAATAATAATTATTGTAAAATATATTTAGACTGACTGATGTGGATTATAAATCCAGGATAATATACTGGATATTTTATAATGTACATTCAATGATCAACGTTCAACTGTTCTTATGTTATCTAAAGTTTACTCTGTTATGTGGTTCATTATTATACTTAAATAAACATTAAAAAAAACAAATACCTAATACGATATGTCACAAACGTATGTACAATATTTTAAAATTGATGAATTTGTACATATTAGTGTATACTTGTAGTAATAAACTCTTCTTTTTAACAAAATATATATGAAAAGGCAGTGTTATTGCCTTCATTACCTTTCACATTACATAGGTATACTATGTATATTGTATATGCATATATACATATTTCTTTTTTTTTTAATTCAATAAATCACATTATATTACTTTGAGCTGTAGGTTTTCTACTCGGTAGTCACAAGGTTATCCTTTAAAATAGCTACACGGTCTCACCATAGGTTGCTCATGTTGGTAGTTAGATTTGCAATTGTAGAATAGAAGTGAAGTTCAACGTTTGTCGACGTCGTTCCAATAAGTCTGTATTTACAATGTAAAATAAACACCCAATTACATGTTAATTGGATTTCCACTGACATCCTGTAATTTTCAAAGATTTCCTATGATATAAAAGAGAATTCTATAGATTTTTAAAAGAAAAATTATAATCTCCGTGCTCTTTTCTTATCCACGTTAAAATACTGCATATAACTAGGTTCTTTGTTTTAAAACAACTATATAAAAATATTTAAATGTTTTAATTCAATACATTATGTACTTTTTACCTAAACTTCAAAGAATCTAAGAGATACTATTGTACATTTGTGTAAACAAATTTATAAATATTTATTAAAATTTTAGTCATTATAATAACTAAAATAAAATAATAAAATTGAAAACAAATCTAAATTTAATATCAATCACATATATTCATGTTGTTTTAGAAACTGAACAAATTGATCGATTATAAAGACAAATATAATTCTGGATATAAATTTATTCAAATTAAGAATTAATTGGTAAACACTTGAACACCTTTTTTAAAAAGATAACAGTCTGAACAATAATTAACTTATTTTATACCCTTAAAATACATGCCAAAAACAATATAATAAATAAATATTGAATTACTTATAATAATATAAAGAAATAAATGTAACTGTTGTACAGTTAGTTACATTGATAATATAATATAATGCAAAATATCGTAGGTAGGTATAGATAAACCGTCTCAACTCTTGAGTTGTTTTTAGTATTATATAATGATATTGAATTATCAAATACATATTTTATTTTTATAGGTTTGAAACAGTATTGGTTGTTAAATAGTTGAAAATTGTAGGCAACTGTAGATAAATATAAATCAGTTTTTCAGTTATAACTTATAACCATTATAACAAAAATAGTTATATTTTAATTTACTTGTAGGTATTTGATTAAACTTTCATTACATTTGTTATTTTATTTTCATTGTATTCCTATAGTGGATGTAGTATTTTGTAGTGAATAGTGATATCCTACACTATACAGGTACCTACTAGTAATATTACGAACACTGAATTTCGCACCATGCTAACTTTTTTTAAATTTACTGTATTCATAGAGCATTAAATTTATTTTTATTCTAATCTAGACTTTAATAATCCATAATTTCGATAAAATGATAACGAATAATAAAAATAATATATTTAACCCATCAAGAATTTTGCCATATTTTTTATCGTTTTTTGCCAAATTCATAATGATTTCAGAATTTTCAATCGATCTGTAAAAGGATCAAAAAATGTGTACTTTGGTTAAAATTGATAGATCATCCTATTTGAAAGCGCCCATTATAATAAACAATCGATCGGAATATATAAATATCCAGGTTAAACTTTTTGTTCAATC